CCGTCCCTGCTTTGGCAACACCTACAGCTGGATTGTCTATCTCTCTATCATTGTCGACCATGTCGTGGGGAAGTGATTTTAGGATCCCAAAAGTTTGCTCTACAACTACGAGTATTTTGGTATGTCTTTTGTTATACCTCACCTCTGTGGGGGATGAGGGGTTTACAAATGGTGGCATTAGGAATGGCTCTAATGGGTACCCACTGACACCTGGAATAACATGAGTAATTATGAAAAAATAAAAATAAATAAATGTCTAGCTCAATATAAAATATAATCCAAAAAAAAAAGTTACAATGCCCTTGGGGAACTTAATCCCTATAACCAAAAAACATATAAACTATATAGCTGCATTACCAAACAATGAGGAAATAGTTACTTGCTTCCATATTAATAAACACCCAAATCATGATTTTGCAGGAAACTTATGGCTTAAGTAATGACTTTCAGAGGGGAACATTTTCCAGAAAATTGTGAGAAGTGTTTCCCAGATAACAGATAAAAATCCGGAGTTGGGGGATATTTCCCCGGGTTCGAGAGATGATCCAATTGGCCATTTCAGGAACTAACGAAAACATTTTTCTATTACCATAAACATTCTGGGGACGAGGGATTTTTTCTGGATTCGAGATAATTGTCTCGTTACCCGGAAAACTCTCATTCACGGAAGTGGTCTTCACCAAGTGTTCCGGCTAACAGAGATCTCACAGTACAGGTTGTACCTCTCTAGTCCGGCATTCCGTGGTCCGGAACGATTTTAGTTTGTCCAATAGGTAGATAGGCAGTTTTTTTTTTTTTCTTTTTTTTTTACTTATCTGAATTATTATTATTACAGGAGTATTAAATTTTTGCCCCTCAGGCCCTAATGTGGGTCAGTGACCTATTCCCGGGTGGGCTAATCCCCTTAAAAAAAAAAGCCGCGGGAAATTAAGGTTTGTTTACATCCGGCAGTTCGGTTGCTCTCTCTCTCTCTCTCTGCTTGTCTATACAGAGTACAACATTTAACCCTTCAATATATATGAGCAGTAAATAAGTGTTGCTTTCATATTCTTATGTAGAGTAATGACGATATATTTTCACATGTGCGCACTTACATACGAGCAGTCTCACTTTTTTTTTTACCATTAATGGTTAGCTACTTATATTGTTCCATTTATTAACATTAAATAACATTACAGGTACTTTAAGCAACCATATTCATTTTTTACATTAATTTTACTACAGCTAAACTCAGGGTCTTATTTTCTTCAGTTTTATATGTAGAACCAATCAGTCACTGGTTTCGTAAGCTTTAACATAAACAATGCCGGCCGCCGTCTTGTCTCCTCTAATATTCCACGTATTATTAATAAATTGTATTGTTAATTTTGCACACATGTACATTAAATCAATAAAAACAAATTCAGAAACATTAATTAAAATATATATGAACAGTAAATAAGTGTTGCTTTCATATTCTTATGTAAAGTAATGACGATATGTTTTCACGTGTGCGCACGCGCACTTACATATGCGATCTCTCTTTTTCTTTACCATTATCATTAGCTACTTCTATTGTTCCATTTATTAACATTAAATAACATTACTTAAAACAACCATATTAATTTTATTACAGCTACAACAAAGGTCTTATTTTCTTCAGTTTTATATGTAGAACCAGTTAGTCACTGGTTTTGTAATCAACGAAAACAATGCTGTGTCATTTCCTCGTGTGTTTTAATATTCTACGTATTATTAATGAATTGTATTGCTGATTTTGCACACATTAACATTAATTCAATAAAAAAGACATTCAGTAATAAACAATAATGAATCTTTTGTACATAAGAGAAATGACACTGTTTACACGATTATGCACGTCGTCTGCACGTTGGCGGACCGTTCAAACCCGTCGAAATTCAAGTTTCCGCCATCAAAATTTTTATTTATTTATTTTTTTGTGTGTTCCAATAAAATACGTTAAGAATTAAAAACTCGCGAAATTTGGGAAGCTACTATACGACATTTAACCCTTCAATATGTCTTCAAAGAGACCATGACGCAGAGAAAGTGGTGCTAGTGCTTCCAGGCATAAGCACAAGTCACTATCTATCCAGAAAAAAGGGTGAATTTCCATGGTCCGGCACCGGTCAGGTCCCGAGGTTGCCGGACTAGAGACGTACAACCTGTATTTGGTGTTTTACCCATAATAGAATTTGAGCTAAACCCTGGCTTAATGTTGGCCTGTGACAAGACACATAAGCTAGACTAAGATAGCCTTATTCTGGGCCACTTCAAATAAATTTCTTATTGATAGCATAACCTTGCCTAACCTAAATGACATCATTTCTCTTAAATTACTGATTTAGCCTAGATCATGGTGTTTTCCTTTCAATGTTTGGGTAATTTGGTCTGAATCATCTTCAAGTTCATAAAAAAAAAAATTAAATCCTGAAACTATATTGCATTAGCCATAAAGTTTCTAGAATTGATACTCTACCCTAGGATACTGTTGATGGAAAGACTGGAAGTAGGCCTAAGGTAGCTGCTAGACAAAGTGTCTCACTGACAGCCTGACACTCACAAATATTGCCATGTACATATTCTCTAACCTAACCTAACATACCATAACATGACCTCACTAAACCAAACATAATCTAACCTCTAACCTATTGGTATTATTTCCTATGTGATTATTCTTCATGTTCTAACTAATTTAACTTGGCCCCCAAGTTTAAACATTTATTTGACTAATACTGAAAAAGCTTAATCAAGTTAATTGCAATCCATATTTTATGCCTAATATCATTGAATTTTGGCTAGCCTATGGACATTTAGAGCCTTTCATGTTATTATAAGCCATATACATAAGAAAACAGGCTAAGGCTATTGGTTGAATATTAGAAAAACAAGGTGAAGTCTTGGCATGAATGTTCACTTGACCTCATATTTGGCTTTCATTACTGAGGGATATTTATGGCTATACAACATAAAAGTAAGGTCTATCTGCAAGTGACAAATAGGAACACTCAAGCCTCTTATTATCGTACAAAAAAATGTACGAAAAAGACAAAGTGAAATATTATATTTCAGTATGTTGATGTACAAAACATTTTATTCATTATTCTATGATAAAACAAGTCTAACAAGCATTATTACAACATATATTATTATTATTTTTTATACAATAGGGAATTAGTGAATACTACATCCGGGTTGAGAGTGTTACAGCGCCTCAGGAGGTCGTGTAAGTTATGCGCTAGATTATGAGCTCACTTACGGAGTTAGATGTCAAATATTTGTTTTGAGTATACCATCTGTGTTTTGAGTATACCGATCAGAGACTGTAAGTCCAGTTACGGGGTAAACAATGACATACAGTCCCATAAATGTTTTTGGGTATCCGGCCCGGTATACAACAAATATACAGTACAGGTATACAACAAATATACAGTACAGGTACAGTATACAACAAATATACAGTACAGGTACAGTATACAACAAATATACAGTACAGGTATACAACAAATATACAGTACAGGTATACAACAAATATACAGTACAGGTATACAACAAATATACAGTTCAGGTATACAACAAATATACAGTACAGGTATACAACAAATATACAGTACAGGTATACAACAAATATACAGTACAGGTATACAACAAATATACAGTTCAGGTATACAACAAATATACAGTACAGGTATACAACAAATATACAGTTCAGGTATACAACAAATATACAGTTCAGGTATACAACAAATATACAGTACAGGTATACAACAAATATACAGTTCAGGTATACAACAAATATACAGTTCAGGTATACACACAATAGTAAACAGCATGTCACTTCGACCGAGGATAAACAACAATTGGTTTTCTTTTGGAAATAAATAATCCATTACTTACACTTGAAATAATTCTTACCAACATGCAAGACCATACAGTTTTCCAGCTAATTTCTCTGTAAGATCTATCCCTACAACTTTCATGTAAGATTCTACTCACCAGTGTGTACAGACATATGTCTCTTAAGATGGCTCTTTCTGCAATAACTTTTACCACACTCTTCACACTTAAAATTCTTCTCACCAGTGTGTACAACCATATGGATCTTCAATTGGCTCTTTGTGGAATAACATTTGCCACACTCTTCACATCTAAAATTTGCACCAGTGTGTACAAACATATGCTGCTTCAGTTCGTCCTTTCTGAGAAAACTTTTACCACACTCTTCACACTTAAAATTCTTCTTACAAGTGTGTACAACCATATGCTGCTTCAGATGGCTCTTTCTGGAATAACATTTACCACACTCTACACACTTAAAATTCTTCTCACAAGTGTGTACAATCATATGCTGCTTCAGAAGGCTCTTTCTGGAATAACATTTACCACACTCTTCACACTTAAAATTCTTCTCACCAGTGTGTACAACCATATGGCTCTTGAGATGGCTGTTTCTGGAATAACTTTTACCACATTCTTCACACTTAAAATTCTTCTCACCACTGTGTACAACCATGTGGCTCTTCAGATGGCTCTTTGTGGAATAACATTTACCACACTCTTCACACTTAAAATTCTTCTCACAAGTGTGTACAACCATATGCTGCTTCAGAAGGCTCTTTCTGGAATAACATTTACCACAATCTTCACACTTAAAATTCTTCTCACCAGTGTGTACAACCATATGGCTCTTGAGATGGCTCTTTCTGGAATAACTTTTACCACACTCTTCACACTTAAAAATTTTCTCACAAGTGTGTACAACCATATGCTGCTTTAGCTGTTCCTTTTTGTTATAACTTTTACCACTTTCTAGACATTTACGAGTTTTCTCATCAACAGTGCGTGTTGTGTCACATCATTGTTACTGTTAAAACTTTTTCAAAGCTCTTCACACTTAATATCTTTCTCATCAACAGTCGCATGTTGTGCCGTATAGTTATATTAAAACTCTCATCAAACTCTTCATAATATCTTTCTCATCAACGGTCACATGTTTGTGTCACATCATAATTACTGTTAAAACTTTCATCAAACTCTTCACACTTAATATCTTTCTCATCAACAGTCACATGTTGTGTCACATCATAGTTACTGTTAAAACTCTCATCAAACTCTTCACACTTAATATCTTTCTCATCAACAGTCACATGTTGTGTCACATCATAGTTACTGTTAAAACTCTCATCAACTTCTTCATACTTAATATCTATCTCATCAATGTGTTCAGCCATACAGGTATGCATCTTCAAAGATTCATTACTGTAAAATAATTCACCACACTGTACACACTCATAATTATTTTGGCCACCATGTCCATCCATTTCATTCATAAACTGGGCCATCTTTTACACACTTTACAACACTCCATACAAGAAAATACTTCCTTCAGTGTTCACAGCTAAATTGGCATAAATAATTCTGCACATGTGTGTGGTTCTTGAGCTCACTATTGTATGAGAAATATTTACCACAAGTGAACTTTATCTCACCAGTATACAAACACAGCAGACAAGCACTTGTCACATTTATATATTGGAACTTTTATCAGCAGTGTACACAAGCACAAGAGTCACAAGGTAAATGTTTAGGTAGAAACATTGCAACACTCATCATACTGTAGTTAAACAATATATAACACAGTGCAACACTTAGCTGACATTTTCAGGAGAAAGATCCACTCGTGTGAACGTTCTTTTTATTCTCACTGTTTCCTAGAATGCGAACTTGACTTTCATATTTGTAACTTAAGACTTGAAGAGTTGACAATTTACCTTAATCTTGCTTGCAATGTTCTCTAGAAGATGTTCACTAATCCTCATACTGTATCGACTTATTGTACAGTTGTGAGGAATTGTTCTGCCTCTTGTTTTATAGAGCTTTAATTCTTGGTTGTGGTGGGAGATGTTTGTGTGGGATGGCCTCCTGATGCTACCATAATATTTCTTTCTTACATCTGTCCAATCACACCTTTGTCTGAAATAAAGTGAACATTATTACAATGTTGAAGATTTCAGAATTCAATAGCTGATGAAAATCTTACTGATAGATATTTACCCAAGGAGACAGCTTGTTTTGGCTCTGTACTGTACTCAAATAGCCTTACTTCCCTAACTAAGTCAACATAGTACTCACTAACTGCTGGAATGGCTTAGGATGTTGTGGGTACTAACGACCAACCCTTAAGACTGAAGGTAAACCCTGTATCCTCTCAGCTGCTTCACGTTTTTCATCAGAATGTGGAAACAATTTTAAAATGTGCATCTTGCAGGAGCTAACTTGTGTCAATCTAAGTGTCAAGATATTGGGAGGAAAAAATTACTATACACAAATAACAACGAATTCCACAGAACTGTTCAGCAAGTGAAGTAAGTGTGAAGTCACAACATCAGATTGTTATAAATTTCTGTACAAAATAGCAAATAAATAATTCTTACTTATAAAGAATAATATTAACTTCATTACCTATGTGACTCAGTCATTATTAATAACTAATACTGCATGTACAAAAAAGGTAATACAGTACAGTATTGCAATACACAGCCTTCACAATAGGTTAAGACAGGTTTGGTTGGTTTGCTAGATTGTAACAGCACCTTTGCTTAATATAAATATACCCCTAACTCCAAGTTATTTATCAAATTATTCAACAAGTGATTCACCATATTGTTTATGACTAGATCACTGAGGTTGTATCTGTCGTAAGGCTCAAGCCAGGGTCTGCTAATTCAGTATAAACACTGCTCGCTCGCTACCACTCTCTCATACCCCAGAGAGGGGCAGTTCTCTCCATACCACTAGACAGGAAAGTTTACACTTAACAGAAGTGTTATCTCAAAGTGATATACACAACACTTCCCTAGAGATAATTCACAATATATTCTCTCAGATTATATCTGTGTATATACCTGCTTTCAGGAATAAAACAGAAAATGCCAAGAAGTGTTTACATCAAGACCTGCCACTTAAAAGTTTCAGAACTTAATTAAAACAATTAGTGTGATATCAAAACAGCTGTCAACTGTTCCACGTATATATTTGAAACTCACTTCCTCAACAAATTTGTATTCTTTGTATTAAAACAAACAAACCAGTTAAAATACCATTACACATCACCCACATACTTCAAAGTGCTGTTTTCACCTTGTAAATGTTCATTAATTATCTGGAGTTTAGACCAGGGAAGTGTCAGTGTGTACCTGGGTACAGTACTTGGATGAATCAATAAACCTTTGCTGACTGAACACAATGATCTGGTTCTCCATGATGTGTCATCATCCCAGAATGTAGGAAAAAAAATCACAAACCTTAACATTATTTATGCTATTTAAAAGATGTGTTTATATCCCCTGACTTTTTCTAACCCCAATTGTGACTTTCTTTCCAGACACCTGAGCTCATCCCTCCCCCTAACCAAAAGATGTCCTCATTAGTGAGGAACAACTCTCCTGGCACTGAAACTTTGGATGATAAAGTACATCCTCTCGAGAGGAAGTTAGTTGACTCAATATAAAAACATCTCTGACATAAGCAAGAAAAATCTACTACATCAATATTCAGAGAAGAAAATAACCTCTTGAGATTTAGTAACATGAAGCAAATTTATAACAAACTTCACAAACTTACCAAAGTCTTGTCCTCAACCATAAGATAAAATAAAGTTTGATCCACAAGTAAGTAAGATGAGAATTAAGTGAGACAGTACAAACCCCAGTAGGAACCAGGTCCTCCTGTAATATAAAAACAATTAAATGAGATAAACAACATAAAGTGTGAGCAGGTCTTAATTAACCTCAATATTCATGTTTTAATAATACACAGAGACAATGTTACCATCACTTCCCTCTTATATTCTTAAGGCCTTCAAAGCACTGGAATATCACTTAACATTTATAATTTTCACCCCACAAAACAACCACGTGGACAGTGACCTAACACAAATGTAGAAAGCTCCCATGTATACTGTGCACGAAATGACCATATATATTTATGGACACAGGTCACTCAAAGTTATAAATATATGACAAAATAATTAGTGATAGGTGGTCCATTGTTATTGAAACAAAGCTTAACAAAAAATAAACTTGATTATTCCTTATCTTACATATTTATATTGATACACCCCATTTAGTAACCACTAACAGACGCTGGTATGTGTGACAAATTGCAAGTTATTATTTACACGAATAGAAATGACATACAGTATACTGTATACAGACGACTCGAGAAATATTGTGTTACCATACATGAACATTAATTATTTAATAAAGAAAACAATTAAAACATTTGGTAAATAAACAAAATACAGAACAAAGTAAAGGTGATTTGGCACCAGTGCATAAATCATCGAGCAGTGAGATGATTGTAGGCGTATTAACAATGTTTTTAGGTTTTATTTTCGTTTTCAATAAATTATCTTTGTGTTTGTTATTATTTTCTATCCCAAGCAACAGTTACTTTCAAGTATATAATGATGGGAATGAAAGCGATGACTAAACGGGCAGACCCCATTTATATATATCATGGGCTTATGCTGATATTGCAGGAGTCGTAGACCCTCAGCAATTTGGCAACATGAAAACTTCCTCCACCACTCACTGTCTTGTCAGCTTTCTCGATTACATATACCGCCATCTCGAGAAACGAAAAACGTCTGTAGCTGTCGCCTTCATTGATTTCACTAAAGCGTTCGACCTAGTCGACCACAATATAATCATAAACAAAGCTATTGACCTCGGGCTTCGGAGAAGTCTCATACCATAGCTTACAGACTTCCTCAGTGACCGACGCCAAGCTGTACGCTTCCGAGGGGCTGTCTCCACCTTTCAGTCACTCACCTGTGGCGTCCCCCAAGGCACCAAGATGGGACCACTCTGCTTCCTTATGCTCATCAATGATGCCCTAAGAGAAACCCCTGCTCGCTGGAAATATGTCGACGACTCCACCATTGGGATCAGCGTCAACAATTCTGCTCCCAACTATACCGCCCTTCAGGATTTATTGAACAGTCTCCAAAACTGGGCCACCAACAACCATGTCACCATCAACCATACCAAGACCATGGTTATGCACATCAACCTCTCCTCCGACATTGTCCCACCTCCTTCCATTACCCTAGGTCCGAACACACTCCAGGTTGTAGATTCCACGAAGCTCCTCGGCGTCACCATAGACAACAAACTAAATTGGAAACCACACGTCAGTGAAGTTGTCAAATCCTCCAGTTTCCGTCTCCACCTGCTCCGCCGACTCAAGTCCCTCGGAGTTCCTGCACACGAGCTCCTCAGTGTATACACAACATTCATACTTCCCAAGCTCACCTATGCCTCCCCCACCTGGTCTTCCTCCCTAAATGCCACACAACGTAAACACCTAGAAAAAGTGCAAAAGAGGGCATGCAAGATTATTCTCTCCCCTTCCTACTCCACATATCAAGAAGCGCTCAACACACTGACCCTTTCGACTCTCACTGACCATCACCACGACCTCATCTGCAAATTTGGTAAGAAGCTTCTACACCATCCCCGACACCGGCTCCTACTACCACCTGAGATCCCTGTCCGAGAATTGCTGTTCGACACCACAACCGCATCCAGCCCATACGTGCACGAACTGATCGCTATAAGAACAGCCCAGTCCCAACCATTGTAAAAATTATCAATAACTTGTAATAAATCAGTGTATTCACTCCCGGTAAACACTGCTCCTTGCACTGTCACTATGTTGAAATGAACTGTAGTTTGAGCTTTTCCCCATCTAGTTATTATATGTCTTATTTGTGTCACTTATGTTACTTGTATATTATTTGTAATTCGTAACCCATTCCCCAAATATGTAACTGTAAATTTTCAGCCTTCTGGCTGCCAAGCTCTTTCAATAAACCGTTAATTATTATTATTATTATTATAAATTCATAATAATGCTTATAAAATGGAAATAAATTCTTTTAATAATTTAAGAAAATTAGTGGGATCAGTGGAATCACTGCAATGAATATGCCTGAGTTCATATATTTGTTCTTAGGAACAGAATAGCTTCAGTCGGAGTCGGAGTCGGAGTCTGGACAATTTTACCGACTCCGACTCCGACTCCACAAGCCGAAATTTCCTCCGACTCGACTCGACTCCACAGCCCTGCTTTCAACAGTGTACCCCACGAAAGGATGAAAATCAAACTGGAAAGGCACGAAATTCAGGGAAATGTCCAAGCGTGGATAGAAGACTTTCTACATGACCTAAAGCAGTGTGCGGTGATTAATGGCACGAAATCATCATCCGTAACTGTCACTAGCGGGGTACCACAGGGCAGTATATTGGGCCCGCTGTTGTTTGTTTGTTTCATAAATGACATGCCTGACGTTGTACACTCCTCCATACAAATGTTCGCTGATGACGCCAAGTTATTTCGGGAAATCAAGAACCAAGTGGACTGTGAAGAGCTGCAGAAGGATCTCTGAGGGCTCCAAGAATGGTCGAAGAAATGGCATCTGAGATTCAATGTCACAAAGTGTAAGAGGATGCACCTGGGGCATACCAACGGTAAGGAGGAGTATCATATGTCCCAATGGGATGAAAAAACTGCACTATTTTAGACAATGTGAGAAGGACCTAGGTGTGTATGTTGACAATGAGCTGAAGTTCTCGGGCCATTGCAAGAAGAAGGTCCCCGAGATATGCTGGGGATTGTCAGTTGGTTGAAAATGTTCAGAGGAGGGCCACCAGACTGGTGCCTGCACATCGGCACCTCAACTACCCTGAGAGATTGGAGCGCCTGAACTTGCCTAACTTATACTATAGACGGGCAAGGGGTGACCTAATTGAGGTGTATAAGCATCTCAAGGGGCACGACTCAGTCGAGTGTCCTTACTTGGAGCTGGTGGACGCTCGCCCCACAAGGGGTCACAGCTCAAGATTGAAAAAGCTGCAAGTCCAGAAAACTGTGAGGGCAAACTTTTTCGGAGTGAGAGTTGTGAACTCTTGGAACAATCTACCAGAGTGTTGTGACAGCACCGAGTGTGTGCTCTTTCAAGACAAGACTTGACCAACACTGGAGCAGGTTCAGGTACATTCAGGAGTCAGTGCATGCCCCAGGCTTGCCAACAGTGCATAACAGAGACGTGACCGATCGCCCAAGCGGCTAACAAGCCGATCATATGGTGAAAAGGATAAAAGAAAAGGAAAAGTAATCACAGACGTGACCAATTGCTCAAGCGGCTAACTAGCCGATCAGTGGAGAAGAGGATAAAAGTTAATAACTTAAAAAATTTTTTGACTCAATAAACAGACTTGAAATACAGTTTCTCACATCCACAAAGTTTTCATTGAGGCGGTTTATCATCTTGGACTTCTCACGCTAGGAATAGATGAACGGACCACATCGAGCAGGAGGAAAGGTTGGTTTGACCTTATTACAAAGATTCATGTCACACTCGCGTGACTCAACACCATCAAGGGAGGCCCGAGGGAACTGGGAATATTCCCAGGAACCCTATGCAAGGCGAAACGGTCCTTATGGGAACCAAACCAAGCCAAGGACTGTCTGTTTCTATACCAAGCACTCTCGTTGCCCCACATTCAACAACTCACATGGGCAAACAGCAAACTGTACTCACTTGCAACCAACCCATACTTTTAAATTGCAAAACACTAACATGCAAAAACATACACTACACCCTGGTCCACCAACAACCAAGACCATACAGCTAAAGGGTCTACAACCTTTTAAAGATCTCTCTGCAACACTGATGTCTGTGTCTCTCACAAACTAGTAAGAGGCATTCCTTACTCCTCTCCCACCCTACTACATATTCCAGTCCGGGGAATGAACACGTCTCCACCCACATACTTCTCAATTCAAAACATCAACTCATCGGACACAGGTTCTGAGCATTCCACCCTGAACTGTCCCCTTGTGACGGCCATCTTGCCAAGGAGGTGACAACAACTCAACTAATCTTCAGCAAGGCTGCTTACAATAATTCTAATACACCAACCCCTTAAAATAATACTCAAATGAAATACCACAACACAATGATAATACTTGATGAAACTGTTGAAAAAATTGTACTTTAAGGCTACACAGATGAATACATAAAAGGGAATATCACTGTACTTGACAAGTCCTTAAACTCTCTTTCAAGGCACAATTACATAACTCAAAAACAATGGTACCTGTTAGTAACAATCTCTGTATGGCTCAACACTGTGAACACTTCCCGAATTACACTGTACTCACAATTGCGGGTTCATACACTGTACAAGAATCTATTTTGAAAGGTTGCATCCACTTGGTGTCCACATACAGTATCACCGTAAGGTCCTCAAACACAATCAAAGGCAATACTCTGAAATTATACTGGGCATTAGATCTCACATAACAGAGCACCACAAATACCAACAATAAAGTTAGCTACTCCACACAAGGCCAAAAATGAACCACTCTGCATTTAAAATCTTAGGTTAGCACCTTCTAAAATATATCGTTAAAATCAAAAAGCATACAGCATACACAAAAATTATACAGGAATATCAATACACACACTACAAAATATTAAACGTTAGGCCATGTCCTACCTAACACATAAATATTTAATGAATGTTACAGCTACAAAGTACACATCCACTTAACCTTGGACGACTACTGTGATGAAATACTTTACCAAAACACTAATGCCATGGCCCAAACATATTCTCACTGTCTGTAAGTAATAACTGAATTAACACAGGTTGGAAAAAAAGTTTGGCAGATTATCAACACCATGAATTAATGAACATCATCTAGAATTCTAATATCACAGACCAAAGATATTCTTCGAGAAACCAAAAGTTAGGCATTCTTACTCTGAATATTTTACGATACCATACCACAGTATTGCAAGAATAATTTACTCAAAAAGTAAATCTTAGCCAATTGTTCTTACTTACCTAACTTCCAAGTAAAATATTTAACTGTAAAATGTTCTTTCAATTCTCCGCCAAAACACAAAGAAAAAATTCTGTACACTCCATCAACACTGTTTCCACAAAAACAATAAGTACCTATGGAATAATTATGTCCCTACCTAACTCGTACAGAATTCACAAAAAAATAAAAACTTATTAGCAAACTGGAATAATCACTAGATACAGAGAAATGGTTATTAGGTACCCGTACAGAGAAATGGTTATTACGAATCACAGATAAAAACTGCCCACAGCACCACGTTCATTCTTCCCAACTTGATACCATATTAAATTACATCCCTACAGCTGTCACCATTGTAGGGGCAGGGGAAAAAACCAATGAAGGGGATCTACTTCCTAAAATACCTTACTTTACTTTCTCTCTCTGTCCCACTACTTCAACAATTACTATACTTTCTGACTTTACTTCTAACCTGAGGTGGCATGACTCGAGGGTAAGACACTTGTCAACAAGGTACCTTACGTATTCCACAATCACCCATACTTGGTGTATCTTTAAACAAGACACCACACTACCCTTATACATCGTACACTGGAGTACCAACAATACACTTCCTGTTTGAAACACTTCCTGTTTGATACACTGTGAAGTACAATACAACTTCAAGTACAGTATACAAACATAATGGCATACTTTTCACAAAACCACCTAACACAGAGATCACACCTATAGTACACTGGAGCATCAACCGAACAGGTTACCTGAATATGTAGTTTGTAAATAGTAATAGGATTCTGCCACAGCCCCACTACTTAATTCCTGTAGACCTACCATGGTTACAATTCGCCAAGAACTAAGTGGCTTTCCTCATACTCTTGCTAGCTGTAAAAATACGGTCCCACTAATTACCCAAATGTACCCAAATGTAGCCACAATGAAGTCAAATGATGATCATACAAGCATAAATCGGGCTGTGAATCACTTCTCGATTAGTATTTGGTGTCACAAAGTCACAAAAAATTGGTAAACTTAATTTAATCTGAGTTAGGTTAGGTTAGGTTAGGTTAGGTACATGCACTGGATCTATTAACTCAGATTAAATTAAGTTTACCAATTTTTTGTGACTTTGACTCCAAATACTAATCGAGAAGTGATTCACAGCCCGATTTACGCTTGTATGACCATCATTTGACTTCATTGTGGCTACATTTGGGTACATTTGGGTTCATTTGGGTAATTACTCGTTCCCCCGGTACATGCACGCGATCTATTAAGTCAGATTAAATTAAGTTTTCTAATTTTTTGCGACTTTGTGACACCAAATACTAGTCGAGAAGTGATTGGCTGTCCTATTTATTCATGTAGGACCATTATTTGACTTCATTGCGGCTACATTTGGTTTCATTTGGGTAATTAGTCGGACCGGTGGTGAACTCATACAACAACACTGCATGAGTGGGTCGACATGACCAGTGAGTGACACGAATGTCGAAACATTTTAGCTAGGCTGAAGGCACATGAACACTACTTAAAACACAACACAGCTACGTTAATAGTCTCACTGCATATTCAGACAAAATACAAATTTACAACACTAAAGGACTACTGGACGTTACCTATGTACAGAGTGTGGTCGTGGCTTAGAGTGAAACCGCTAGCTCTCACAACTGTGAGTTGCCAAGGCGTCACTTACACAACACAAATGAAAAAATAGACAGAATAAGTACTCTCCACAGAGTGTTTGAAAATGAAGCTACGAACTCATATCAATCTTGTTAAGTTTCCCTCTCAAAAATAAGTAGTGACTGAGCTCTCACAGCCAAGAATAAAACTTGCGACAAATTCTTAGAACGTGAGGGGGTGGGGGTGGCTGG